GAAAGTTATGCAAATGAGTGGAGACACTGAGAAGCCAGTGAGAGTGCCTATATAGTTGTTTCATTCATTGATTCGGAAGATTCAGCTCTTGAAATTAGATTTGTCATTTTTTATTTTTATTAAGACTGTCTGAATCAAATGTTGAGTGTATACATCTTTTTTTATAAAGGTGGAGAAAATGTATGAATCATAGGTAAAATGTACATCTGATCACCGTAAAAACCACATCTTTTCAATAAATATATGATCAAAATACAATTCTCAAAGTAATCGGAGAAAATGTCATTAAAAATAAAAAGGCAGTATTTTCTTTATTCGATATAATTACATTCACGTATTTTTACGATACAAATAAGAATAAGGTAATAAAATCATTGTTTTTATGATTTGAAGGATTTTTATTCTGAATTGTTGTGGAATGAGTGCATTTTGTTTTTTTGGCCGGCTCCAATCACGTTGAAAAATATAAAGATTCTGACGTACAAATACTTTTACTAGCCAACTGTTATCTTCAGACGTTAATCAATTATCGTCAAAAAACATTCTGCCTAATAAAAGGAATTGAGTGTATAATGCTTGATGTTTTTTTTAATTAATGTAAATTTTTTTTCGGATTGTTTGTTTCTAACTTTAAAACTTTTTTTTATTCACAATAAAATCTAACTAAATCTTCCAACTCTAGTGTATCGATGGAAAGTGTATCGTACATAAATACATCAAGCAATACTACCTAACCTTGAACTCAAATTAACTTTTTATTTACGAATTTTTATTGATTTGACTCAGCATTGTCTGATTTTTTGTGCATTAATCTTTATATATCGTGTTAAATCGTATTTGAATTTAGTTAAAGCGCATCTCTTGCTACACCTCCAGCTTCGCATGAAAGCAAGATTTATCGGGAAAGATTGTCAGCACTATTTTGATAACACGTGATTGCATTCAATATTTTCTATTTTTATTATTATCACATTTATTTATGTTTGTAACAAAATTTAAATTAGGAAGTTTGTGTACCAAATTTTGATTTCGACCTCCTTTATATCGGTGGCGGCTATTTGAGCTTAAAAGAAATAAAGGTTTTTTTCGTTATTATTCAAACCATTCGTTGCTTAAACCAAGAGCCACATTAGCAACCTTTATACAATCAATAGCATCAAGCGTATCGCAAAATGTCATGCCAATCAATTGATGCGAAATTCCAATTACCACAGCGGTACCAAGGTCAAATACAGAGTTTTTGGTGAGTTCTCTTATTCTTCTATTGCGATTATCATCTCAAATTTAAATATATTGTTAAATAGGGATGAATACATTCAATTGACTTTGAAGTACAAACCAATGAATTTGGGACTCGGCTTCACGGTGAGTTTTATAGTTTTCAGTTAGTGTCAAGCTTGCAAAGTATTTTGTTAAATAGGATGGTCCTGTACCGCAATATATAACGGACGCTCTAGCTGCAGCGGCGAAAAGTCCGAATTCTATAGTGAATCAATATACAAGAGGATCTGTAAGTAATATCTGAATGTAAATTTTAATTAGGAAAACTTCTTTATGGAATGCCAGAAGAATGAATTTCTTTTCAAATAAAAAATTTGCCGAAAAAGATTTTCTAGAGATTCATCCTGACAAGTCAATACCCATTTCACATTTTTCCGCACCATATTCGCCAGAATCGAATGAATTTGAATTTATTCGATAATTTTTTTTCCTAAAACATATTTTACAAAATCTGGTCACGTCGTACACTTGCAACATATTAGTAGTACCGACGTGAATAGATGACATTTTGTATTCTATGTTAAATGTGTTATAATTGTCAATTCCATCGAAATAGGAGTCACTATTTGTTTCGTTATCATTTCTTATACAAAGGGTCATCCTCGTCTCATTCAAGCATTGTCAACACTTTACTCACAACTGGTTGATCGAAAAATTGATCCAATCAATGAAATGTTGATAACGATTGGAGCGTATGAAGCACTTTATGCAACTATTCAAGGGTGGGTTCTTTATCTTCTTTAACTTAATACGAGTAAAATACAACTTATTCATTTAATTCGCCTCTTTCAATAGTCACGTTGATGAAGGAGATGAAGTGATCATTATCGAGCCATTTTTCGAGTGTTATGAGCCAATGGTTAAAATATGTGGGGGTGTACCACGATTCATTCCCCTTCGATTGGTAAACAAATTATACTATTTAAAAACCGCAAAAATCTAATGTTCCAATTTGACAGAATAACACCACCACCAGCAGCAACAGCGAAATTAATTCAAGCGATTATGTTCTCGATGACGGTGAATTAGAAGGACTCTTTAATGAAAAGACAAAAATGATCATTCTCAATACACCAAATAACCCTTTGGGGAAAGTCTTTTCAAGAATCGAATTGACCAAAATTGCTGAGTTGTGTCAAAAGTATAATGTATTGTGCGTTTCGGATGAGGTTTATGAGTGGATGATCTTTGATGACAATAAACATATTCGAATCTGCACTCTACCTGGCATGTGGGAACGAACAATTACAATTGGTTCTGCGGGTAAAACGTTCAGTGTCACTGGATGGAAAACAGGCTGGGCATATGGTCCTGCCAATCTAATAATTAACTTGAAAATGGTCCATCAAAACTGTGTCTATAATTGTCCAACGCCAATTCAAGTAAGGAAGAAAAATGAAACTAAGCGTTGTTTTCATTTACATTTATCCATTTTCAGGAAGCAATTGCAATTATTTTCGAGGGTGAAATCAAACGGTTAGATTCACCGGCATGCTATTTCAATGTATTGGCAGCAGAATTAAAGAAAAAACGTGACTTTATGGCCGAGTTTTTAAACGAAAACGGAATGAAACCAATCATTCCACAAGGAGGGTTTTTTATGACCGCTAATTGGTCTGCATTAGGTGTGTCAATATTGATTTTCTTACAATTCATACAAGCATATAATTTTGTTTATCGTTACACAGAAAACAAAGCCGATTTGAGTACTGAATTGGACACACAACAAGATTTCCGTTTCACAAAATGGATGATCAAAAATGTTGGCGTGCTGGCAATGCCGCCGTCAGCCTTTTTCAGTGACACCAATAAATCCATGATGGAACACTTTGTGCGATATTGCTTCTTCAAAACGGATGAAAACCTTCAAACAGCTGCCAATATTTTGAAGGAATGGACTGGCAAAGTGTAATTTCATTGAATTATTTTATGATCATCGTTCAATTACACAGCTGTATTTGTTTTGATCTAGCTAAGAGAGAATTTTCACTTGATTTTTCGTTTTTTTCTGTTTTTACAAAGCATGACGATAAGGCAAAATTGCTTGCCAGCGCCACCAAATGACTCCATATGATTCTATATAGTTCTGCGGTTACCAGCGGTACTAATCTCTAATAGAGCGTTGCCGAGCTGTCATTATCGTCGTGCTTTGTGTTTTTAAAAATGTTTATTTCTAACTTTGAGGTTTGAGTACGTATTGAATAAAATAAATAAATGTTGTTGAACATTTCAGTCTGTTTTTTGTTTTTATTTTCGTTGCAATAAAAACCACGACGTTATGACTTTTGCTCCCAGTCTCAATTATTAATAACACCTCATTATTTATAAACGAGAACGTCAAATTTAATTACTTTAAGATAAGAATACGTCTTGTTCAAAATATCATAAAAATGAATATTCGGCATTCACAAAAATTGTTTGTGATACATTTGGTATCTGTGATGAGCCGATAAATAAATACATTAAAAAATAATCGGTCAAATGCACCTAGATATCGTAATGATGGTAATCTTTGCAGAGGATATTCTTTAAACTTCCCGAAACATTTCGTGCAGCTCCCATGTCCCAAACTTACAGCCAATCTGACTGAACTTTTCAAGGAAGACCTACGGATGGTCATTGGCTTACTAACCGGACATGCCAGGGTCAATTATCACCTAAGAAACCTAAATCTTAGGGATGACCCTGACTGTAGACTTTGTGGTGATGAAGTAGAAACAACATCCCATCTTGTAGACAGATGTTCGAGGCTGAATGATATAAGGGACAGGTTCACTGGATGGAGATCCTACCAGATGATCCATGCACCAAATGTTTTCAGCTTGGTACAGTTTTTTAAGCGGACATGTGAACAAAATCCATGTCTCGTACATATTTTTGGATAAAGACTATTTTCGTGTACAACAGTACACATACGGGCGTCTTGCAATAGGTAAGCAACGAGTTTACTAGCATTCAATTAGAAGCAGTTCACTCCCCATTCAAATCCAATAATCCAACCAAAAAGATTGCCACGAAAACAGGTTCAGATACTTCATATCTTTCATCTGTTGAAGTAATGTCAAATTGTACAATGAACATGTCTATATTGAAAATGAATTTTATATTTCATTTTCTATTTGTCAGCAGTTTTCTAATTCTGATTGTACGAAGTTTTTTTTTTATTTATTAATTATCATTTATTCTATAAGGAATCAATAAATGGAAATTTCATTTTATAGGGAAAATATTAGAGTTTGAATATTAGAGAATGAATTGCTTGGTTCAACCGAACTTTCTCTCATTTGGCGAGGTATGAGTAATAATCGCTTGTAAGATCAGGTCAGGTATTTAATATAGTATCTTTACCTAATCAGACACTTATGAAAACGAAATCGTTGTCGTCAAAATTAATACCAGTGAAGATATACGTATTTTCAGAGATGAAATTAAAGAATTTGAAGCTTTAAATGCAACAACCGACCGCAATATTGAAAGTCATACCCAAAATTTTCTTTAGTGGCAAATTTATGCTTTATCATCATGCAATTGCAATGACTCTATTTGATGGAACCCTGAGAGATCGTGTGAAAATTCGGAAGAAATACAACAAGAAAATATCAGAATTAAGTATTTTACTCATTTTCAAGGGACGGGTCAGAAGATGACAATTTTATTTGAAAAGTTTAAAAATTCATTAAAATTTTCAAATTTCAGGTCGAAATATTGAAATATCTGAAGCAAAAAAAAGTAATTCATAATGAGGCAAAGATGTGTTTTTCAAAGAAGTGGTATGCTTTTATATAATAGTTATATAATTATTGATTTATTGAAATATATGCGTACATTTACGAATAGATTTTAATTTGGCCTCACTAGACGGTGGGGATACACACTCCAGCCTTCGCTTCATCAAACTTTTATCTAAAACGAAGATGTATTCCAATGGATGATCTTGAGTCGTTGGTGTTTTCGTTATGAGCAGCTGCAGGTATTTCAAAGGACAGAGGTTTTCTTGGTATAATTAAGCCCGAAGGCAAAACTCTGGTAGAATGTAAGAAAAATAAAACGGCTAAAGATAAAATGGAGGTCAGTAACACATATATTCGATGAAGGAATAAAAAATCACTCTATTTAAATTTTGCAATTTCTTAGACAAAATGTAACCAGTTCAATGATCCCAATGTCCAGAATGCGTTCAGGTTAATCGTTGCAGAATTAATTCTTAATATTTTGACTGATGCAATAAACAAAGTGCATGGATCTTTCGGGACACCACAATTTGAATGGTTAAATGATGCATCTTCTAGTACTTAAAGTTCATTTTTATTTAATGTCGAAAAACTGGTTTCGTATCGATGTTTTTATTTTTGGAGATTTCGGTGAATAAAAAAGTTTGCAATAAATTTTGCGCCACAGTCTTTTTTGATGTAGTTTGTAATTTTATGAACTTTTGATATTAGTATCTTTTGATTCATGTGGCTTCATACTTTGGACAATTTGACTCGAAGGTGGTTCGTATTCATGAATAGAATCATTGATATATCGATTTCCCCAAGATCGATGAAATTTCATTCACAAGCATCAATTCAAGAAAATCTCGTTAGAGGCATATGTCCTCACCAGGGGTCCGAAAAATCTGATCCGTTCATAAAAATCGATTGTCACACCCGTACAATTACCGAAATTCAAATTTTATTGCATAAATCGATAGAAATGGTTCATCATTAGTTTTTTTAGAAGCCATTATAAACTATTATGAAGAATCTGATTTCGACATTGAAATGGAATACTAGCTCTCGATTCATTTTTTTTATTTTTGTCATTCATATCAATTTTTTTTTACTCAGATCCCTATGAAATCCCGATGCATTTTTTTAAACATAGTTTTGGTGTTGTAATTACAAAAAAAAATTATGTTGCTCTTTTATTTCCACTTTAATCCGTTCATTTATATCACTTTTTCTTCAACTCTTTTAATTTTTTACCAAAAATAAATTCAAATTGAATACAAAAAAGATCAAAATAACATTTAATGTCCAAAAACAATTGTGACTTTTAAATACCATACGCAAAAATAAAAAGATAAGAAACGAAATCACGTAAAAAAGTCACAAAATCGAGGTGTAGTACTGTGCCCCCACTTCATAGATGATGACGTAAAAAATTTTAGGGAGGGTGATGGCAAAATTCCGTAGGGGGTCCCTGGAAAACTCCATAGGGGGTCCCTGCCGATGTCAACAATTTGTAGAAAATGAGGATAAAATCGTTTTTTTTTTTTTGGAAGTCACTTTTGGAGACGAAAATCCCTAGCAAATCGGAAGAATTTTCTCGGCCAAAAAAAGTGAAGAGCAAAAAAAGGTCCTCATTTCCAAAATTGTTGAGAGTTCCTAAAAATTTGGATCGTGGCGTAAGCCACAGCAACAATAAAAAAATCTAATGATGTAGAAAGTTAGGGTTTTCAATCTTCTTTCAAACGGTATTCAAAGTTTTAGCAAATTATATCTAAAAACAGTTCATTTTCATACAACATTTTATTTTCATTTTACGGCAAACTTTCTGTCGGCACTGTACCTCCTAAGCCATTTCAGTGTATTTTGCACTAAGTTCACACTTATAGCGAAACAAGATTTAAATTACACAAAATTTGCATCTTTCATTGTCATTCGACTCTTTTTCTTAACGAAAATAAAGAGTCTTACGGGAGTAAGACGAACTTTTCCGCACGGTGGTAGTTGCGTATTTTATTAAGAAAGTTCAAAATAATATTTGTTCGATTTTTCAAGACTTTCAAATGGCGTAAAGTTCGAGACCAAAAAATATGTTTCAACTTTGGCAACGAAATATTCTTTAATTTTAATGTTTTTGAGGTTTCGTAAATTTTGACCTATTGCAATACTTTCCCCTTTCACACTAGGTGTGTGCGGAAAAGTAAAAATATGGCCTGAGCTTTATCTTCAAATCAGTATTTTTCATTAATTGAATTATGTTGACTTTGTTGATCAAAATCGATTTAAAATGATTCGATGTACGGCGTAGAAGCTATTGCAAAATACTTAAAATGTTAAATACTTGTATAAATAAGCTTGAACACATTTCGCGCACAAATGCTTTCATTACAAATAAAGTTTTTTTCATTAAATACTGAGCAAAGAGATGGCGCTACACACCTTGTCAATGAATTTTGGGAAATACAGAAAAAACAAAGAGCAACTGTTTTACATAGAGAAAAGCACCAAAACATCAAAGCTATAAAATTGTGTATAACAATTAATATAGCGCATCATATTTTCCTCCCATTTTTGCATTTATGTGTGAGTATGCCAAATTTCAGTAGTTTGCTTACATGCTATTGGTTGTCATCATGTTCGTCGTATCTTGACTATACGTAAAATTTACAGTAGAGCCTACCCAGCAAACAATTGATAGGGCAAATGCATCCATTATGAAGCACATATTGACGGTCGTTTTCGGGGTTAGATTCGTGTGTAGTTTCAGTCATTTCCATAGGTTTGGCATGGTGGAACATTCAGGTGTGAAAACATGGAAAAAGGGAAAGACAACCATTAATATCAGTTGAACTGGGTATAAAATACTTTTTTTAAATTAAAAACTTTACTCACCTACGGGCACTCCCCCTCCGTACAATGTTGTACTATTGTACAACTAGACCACAAGACTTTATATAGTCTGTTCATGTCTAGCTACGCTAACTATAATAGTTAAAATATTTTATTTTATGTAATTTTTTGAATGTATGATTAATTGATGATGTTTGTTAGTTGACATTGTTGTTTTGGTCCGGCGGTCTTAACAATGAAACTGGCAATGGTACATCAAAGATCCGGCAAAGTCCTATGTAATTTAAAGCAAATACATTAAATAATGAATATTCTGTTTCCAATTGATTCATACCTTTGAGCATAATGCATTTTGCTGCAACAATATCTCGGTGCCAAGTAACTGTTTGTGGAACAACATCATCATCATCAACATTTAATGGCCAATTTTTGTAGGTAACTTTAACCTTTGACATTAAACGCCCAGTCCGAAGTTTTTCGTTCACAGCCTCACGATTGCCATCGATAATTTGTCGCTTAATAATTGCACGTTTTCTTCTCAAAACACGTCTGTTGACCGTTGACACAATGATATCTGGCAGTCCAGCGACTGAATCTGGCAGGCCATCAATCTTTTTCGCTCTACAATCGTAGCACACTTTAAATCGATCATCTTTTGTGTGCCTTGGAAAA